CTTTAACTAAAGAGCAGAGCAGGCTTTTTAGGAAAACACTTCTTTAGCTCTCGAAGATAACTATCGGGTGTAGGAATATAAGCAATCCTACGCTTAAGGCAGAATTGCGACAGAACAGCCTCCCTCTCGCTCTACCGTTCATTTTTGAACCATCTGTGAAAATTACTTTACTACCGGGTGGAGTTTAGTAGTTTTCAAGACGTTTCTCCCTGTTTCGGATTTTTATGACGGAAGTTTCTATGCGGGATCGGTTTTGTACAACACGGAAGAAAGCTATATGTATCGAGAATGCAGGAATGTCACAGCAATCCCGATTCCCATTGTCCTGTCTCTCTTAACCGAAATGCAGCAAGACATGCCATCTACTGACCCACTATATCTAGTGGCAGAAGAGCCTAAAAGACATTTAAAACATCATTTGGCGATGTCCGGATTCCTCCGCTGATGCAGATCATACTAATCCTCTGCACTTTTCTGAGTAGACTAAGATTAGAGGCCTTATCCAAGGGAGGTCACCATACTTTAATTCCGTAAAGGAGAATCGGTCTGACCACCGTTGCATAAATCCAGCGGCATATACTCGCGCCCAACTCCCATTTCTTACCAATGGCCCTATTGCATGAATATAGGGCTACGGACGTATTCTCATAACACCGAACTATGTTCTACTTCCAGCTCAGATTTCTACTCAAAATGAGGCCTAAGAATTTCGCTTTATGCGTAAAGCTTAAGAGACACCCGTTTAGTNCATATACTCGCGCCCAACTCCCATTTCTTACCAATGGCCCTATTGCATGAATATAGGGCTACGGACGTATTCTCATAACACCGAACTATGTTCTACTTCCAGCTCAGATTTCTATTCAAAATGAGGCCTAAGAATTTCGCTTTATGCGTAAAGCTTAAGAGACACCCGTTTAGGTCAAGCGGGGTCAGTAGCGGTATCTTGCATCTTCTCGTAAAGAGAACAAGTTCCACTTTCCCCGATAGTGAAAGTTACTAAATCCATTTTTTGTGAAAGCTCAACTTAAGGTACTTGTTTTATTTCTACCCGTTTATATTCGACGAAAAGCAAACTTGCTAAGTCCAAAAGAGGCATAGCAAACTCGTTAAGGCGAAATAATTCGAATTATTTTAGTTACCAACAAATCCTTCTGATTCTTACGGAGTTTCACTTTGCTTTAAACTAACAAAATATTGTATTTAAAGTTCCGTAAAATAGTTGAAGGAAAAGGTTGTAAGAAGTTGTTTTACTCTTCTGAAAAATTTGTAAAAATGAAGGTGCAATATTTATTTCTGCGGAATTTTTTTCGTTGTCACAAACTTACCAGATAACGTAAGGCATCTTAATTTTTGTTTTCATCCATACGATATACACTCCTACTTTAAGGCACACGTTGTATATAGTNGGAAAAGGTTGTAAGAAGTTGTTTTACTCTTCTGAAAAATTTGTAAAAATAGAGGTGCAATATTTATTTTTGCGGAATTTGTTTCGTTTACACAAACTTACCAGATAACGTAAGGCATCTTAATTTTTGTTTTCATCCATACGATATACACTCCTACTTTAAGGCACACATTGTATATAGTACACAAGTCACTCAGTTTGCTAACGAATTTCACAAATACATATTTACATACGTATACTTACGTATTTCAAATATGTACTTACAAACGCCGTTTTCGCCACAACTACTACTTGCATGCATAGGTATACTCACACTAAAGCCATTCTTACTACTTGCGTGTAAAGCATAACACCATTCTCACGAGCACGACCAAGTTTTTTACTTACTTACATTCGCATTCACAGAAACATCAGCACCTTTGATAGCCACACATGTGGATGAGAAAATCATACAACAAGTGCAAGAACAACAACAACAACAAGTACAACATGAACAAACAATTATCATACAACAACAACAACAACAACAAGCGGCAGAAGAAATTGTCGTTAAACGCGAAAAAGTCACAAAGAAGAAAAAGAAAGTATCACAACAACAACAACAACAAATCCAAGAATTCACAGAAATCCAAGAGCATCTAGAAACAACCATACAGAAAGACTTACAAGCAAATGAAACAGTCGAGGATTTCTACACCGACACAGTAAAGAGCATACAACATGCAGACATAGCATACGAAACCATACAAATTGAAACACAATCACAAGAAAATATCGAAACCACAGCTCTAACACAGGTTTCCCAGGTGTCTATAGAACGGCCGGAGCCGAAAGTGGCACATCCTCAAATCGCACCAGTGAAGACTGTGGCCATACAAGAGGAATCGAATACGCTCGAAATGGAGGAAGGTCTACGGCCGCAACATAGGCATACAAAAGAAAAATTGCATGAAACTAAAGCGGAAGTTGAACGTCGTGCGCCGGAAGTTTCGGAAGTAGAAACAAAACAAGTAACAGCAGAGCTGATAATCGAAACGCAACCAAAACCTGCACAAGCTTCCACAGCTTTGGACAAAACGGAGTCAGTGCTGGTAGAGAAGCCATTTATTGAGGATGCGATCAAGGGTTTGGAAAGCGCTGAAATACCAGAGCAGTATGTTAAGCCCACATTGGTGCCACACATTTCACAGCAACAACAGCTAGAGTTGACAACTGCAATTGCTGTGGGAGAGCTACCAGTAGAAGCAGCACGCGAGCTGCCCACTGAAAAAGTCTTGACAGAATATGTGGCTCACAAAAGCGTAATCGTTGATCAATTAATAAGCACTGAATTGGCTGAAAAGCTCGAATATAAGCAGTCACCTGCCGAGAAGCAAGCACCCGTTCAAGTTGTGGCCTCAGAGACAAGCCTTCAAGTGATAGAAATTCAGCCACAAGATACAGCTGAAGCTTATGAAACGCATGCCTTTGCTACTGATTCGGCACGACCAGAAATAGTGGAGCATACAGCTTACGTAGCGCAAGAAGAAAAGCCAATTGATAAAGAGGATGTTTTTCAAAAGCACGCTGTACCTTCAAAAGCTTTTGCAAACGTGGAAATTACGCCAGAAACTGCGCCACTGGAGGTGACACAAAGTGAAACAGCGGATACAGCACTAGACTTGAAACCGAAGAAGCTGCCGGATGCGAGTAGTGCAATCGAGCGCTTGATACTACAACAAAGTGTGATTGGGACACAGCCCGACTTGCAAAGCCCGCTGGTTGAAGTGCCGCAAACGGATCTGTCAACCAGACAGGCAGAGCTCAATGTAATTGAAAATGTACACATTATCGGTGCAGAAGTCATAACTCTAGAGGAACGGCCTACAGAACTTGTGCCTCAAGTAGAACCAAAGCAGGTCATTGCAGAGGCTGAACAAGCACACAGCTTGGTTGTGGGACAAATAAATGAAGCGTTGACTGAAGAGCGCACACACGCACTCCAAGAAGACATACTTCCCACAGAAAAAATTACTAAAAGTACACTAACAACAGCGAATGCAGTGGCATTACGCACAGAAAGTTTAATTTGTGACGCAACAGCAATAGTGGATAGCACACAGCCAATTCCGCAGCATACCAAACTCGGGTATGAAGCAGCCACAGCCGTCGCTGATGTCGGCACTATACAGCCACATGAAAAGGAAATTACTATGCCGACTCAAAATCCTGAAACAGCGGAAGCCAAATTCTTGTTTGTTGAGCAAAATTCATTGTCGATTACAGACAATCAAGCAGTGGATACCGCGGGTGATTGGCAGGCAGCACTGCAACCTTTCAGTCAAACGGCCAGTCACAAGCAAACTGAAATTACGCTAGCGGCACCCAGCATACTGGAGGTACGGCCACAAGCAAGACCCGAAAACTTAGACACGGATACGCCGAAATTGGGTGAAGCCACAAAAACAATCGATACTATGATTGGTGGCGTCAGCGAAGTGCAAAATGTATTGGAATCGCACACAGAACTCACAACGGCAGAACAGCGCATCGAGAAAACTATCTTGCCTGTACCAGGCAGGACAATGCAGTCGCTGGCCGTTTATGAAGTGCAGACTACCGAAATGGACGAAGCTCTCCACACGCCAGATAAACCAACATTACATACATTACACGAAACCACACCCGAAACATGCACACCACTGGAACACACAGAAGTGCTAACATTGCACACGATACGCGACACCGAAGAGCAAACCACACCGCAAACGGCCGTGGCCGAGTTCAGCATGCAAGCACAAAGAGCTAAAAAAGTCCAACAGCAAACGACGTTGGACACTGCAAGCGCACTCACGATCGAGGAAATGCCAGCCAAACAACTATCCGGTGAAGTTTTCGATTTGATTCAGTCTTTAGAAGTCACTACCACAGCAACTCACGAAAAGGAGGCGACCCTAGCACAGCCCGAACAGCCCGATACAAAGCAGGCAGTAGCGCTCGACACAGCTACATTGCCTGTTGCTAATACGAAGAGTACGCAACCAATTGAGACTTTAGCCGCACTTGTCGAGTCCGATTTAAATAAGCAGCGTGCGCGCTTTAGTTTTACTGAAATTGTATCTACCGTGCAATCGTCGGATGAAGCACTCGATTATGTTGAAGAATATCGACGTAAACAAGCGCAGGCGGGCACTGTTGACAACGTGGAGTTAGTCGCGAACAAATCCGCGTTAGAAGTGCTGACCACAATCACTAGCGAAAATGAGGAGGCGCATGCCAGCGTAAAACCAAAAACAAAAGGGCCAGCCGAGGTAAAAATTAATGAGTTAACTCAAAAGGCGGCTGTCATACATACGCCTTACGTACATGATACCACTGGTGAATTGAAAGGTGTAGAATCACTTGAAACCATCGGGAAGCCGACAACTGATAGTATCTATGGAATTTCAATTCATGAGAAAAATGTCTTCGAAAGAGAAGCCAGCTTGGAGAGTCGCCCCAAAGAAAAAGAATTCCTGGCAACAGTAAGTTTCAGCACGGAAGATGCAAAATTAATACAACAAAGCATAATGTATGAGCGAGAAAAGGAATTTAAGGAAGTTAAGCCATATGAAACAACAGCGCAGGCAACAGCACCCGAGGACACGCTGAAATTGCCACTGAGCGAAAATGTCTTCAATTTAGAGAGCGTTGGCGCAGTCGACAATCTGAAGCTATCCACCACATCAGCAATTTCGCAATACCAGAACCTAAATGAGACTATAATATCCGAAATCATTGCTTATGAAGACTCCCGGCCCGGTGACATGGCACTGCCAAAGCACGAAGAACAGCCGCTCGCGAGCACTTTCACACTTGCCGAACATGCGGCAATAGCCAGTGAAAATGTTGTAATCGAAGATGCGAAACTTTTCCAGGACAAGCCAGCATTCGATGCGAAAAATGCACGGTCAGCCGCGAGTGAACAAATGCACCACGCACCGGTACTCGAGCAAACTAACATACTACAAGCTGCCAGCGCTTTAACGCTACCGGAACTTCAACCGGATAGAGCAAGGGAAGGTGCAGAGAAATCATTACTAACAACAAACTTAGTCAAACAAGAAGATATCTACGAAAACTACACGCCCGTTAAAGACACGGATGCAGCGCCAGCTCAGCACGCTAACATCGAACACGAAATTCACTATTTGCCTACAATACAATCCGATCAACCCGTAGAGCGAGAGAGCGCATTCAAGTCGGCTAAACTGTCAGATTCGCATGCAAGTGATAGTATCATAACCAAATCATTGAGCTTACCAATAGTAAATGAGACGACAGCAGCTGAAGCACCGCATCCACTGAATGAAANCGCTAACATCGAACACGAAATTCACTATTTGCCTACAATACAATCCGATCGACCCGTAGAGCGAGAGAGCGCATTCAAGTCGGCTAAACTGTCAGATTCGCATGCAAGTGATAGTGTCATAACCAAATCATTGAGCTTACCAATAGTAAATGAGACGACAGCAGCTGAAGCACCGCATCCACTGAATGAAGATGCGACCTCACTTACACAAATTAAATCCTCCCTTGTGGGTTCTCAATATGAAGTGTCTATTTCACAAGTTCACCCTTATGAAGGCACCACTGAATTACCAGCAAAAGACATTGCGTCTACCGCCACACCAAATCTCAATTTAGAAAGCAGTAATAGGCCGGCACAAGTCGAAACTCTCACTAACGTATACGCCAAAGAAGGAGATGTGGAGAAATTCAAAATCGATGAACAGCGCGCGAAACCTTATGTGGAAGGCATGTTGACCGAAACTATTACTACCGGCGTAACCGCGTACGAAAAAGCCGATTCACTTCAAGCTTTAGAGTATTCAGCGAAAGCGGCTAAAACGTCCATGGATGAGCATACACAACAATTACAGGTTAAACAACTCGATGTCATTCTACAAAAGGAAACTACCCTCGAAACGGCAATTAAAGCCGAGAATGTCACACCATATATTGAAGGCACCCAACACGAAATGCTTGTAACAGAGATAGCTACCGTGGAACCACTAACTGAGCTACCTCTGACGCTCGAAAAATCAGATAAAACGGCACGGCATGTCATAGACGACAGCATACGTCAAGCGCAGACAATAGCCACCCCGTTGCTATTAGAAAAAGAAAGTGTAACTAACACCGAGGCGCCTATAAAATACACTGCAAAACTGCAAAGAGAACAAGTGCAAAATGATAAAACCGTTACTGAATTGACGCCATATGAAGACGTAAAAAGTCTACCAGACACTGCGGCCGTTACACCCCAAAACGCAAGCGCTCGCTTTGATTCCAAACCAATATTGGCAAACATAACTACCCTCCAAGAAGCACTCATAAAAGAGGATGGCATTGCCGGGCTCAGGCCGGAACAGGGTATGGCAGAGGTTGTGTCGGGCAAAAATATAGCCTTTACAACCGAGGAAATAATTAGCCTGAATCTTATAACTGAAACATACGATTTGAAAGCTCCGCCCGGAATTTTGGCCAAAACTACACATGAAGAGTTGAATGAAGGTAAAACCATAGCCGAATTCCTGTCATATGAGAGCAGCACTGCACTGCAAACAAAGGCGCCGACACAGCTATTGCCACAAGCTGTTCTAGTCGAAGGAAAAACAAAATCCCTAGAAAAAACAGAAATAGAGGTGTTTGAAAATGTCGAGGAAGCTGGCGAATTTAAGCCTCGCGGTATTGAACGCCTCCAGGCAACTGTAGTTTTGCCAGAACTTAAAGCTCCAATCGTTGACGAGATTGCAATCAAACCTCCACTCGACCATATTGAAACCATCAAACCTTCCCAAGAAACCGCAACAGCGATAAGGGAAGAGCAGGATAATGTATTGGTAAATACGTTAACGACTTTTGAAAGCATCGTTAGCATACCAACAAATGAAATACTTGAAAAACGACAGGCACAACCTCGTGTGAGCGATGCCGAATACACAGCCATCACAACTGAGCCCATTATATCCGGTACTATAAACCAGCTACAGGACGACAAACAAATAGATCAACATGCAGTTATTAAAATCACACCACATAGTACGTATTTGAATGAACAACCTATCATCCAGGATAATCTTCACACACTAGACACACACACACATACATTGGACACGGCGAAAGTTCAAATAATACCGCAATATGCAATTAATAGCGAAGATTTGCAAACATTCGAGCAGACGATTCCTCATTCCACAGATCTGTCGAGACAAATCACAATAGCACCTACACTAGAAACGGATATGACAAATACCGCGCTACAAACAACACAATTTATTGCTGAAAGCTCTGATATATACAAACATACTTCATCAGCTGAAAAGTCCGCCCAAACTATAAGTACTTATCATCCACACATCACAATCGATCAACAAGCTGTTGTTGAACTAGAAAAGGAAACAACGCTAACCACAACAAAACCAAAATCTCCCCAACAACTACAAACACTAATCGAACAACCAAATTACATACTCCCTATACAACACACGGAAATTATAAACGAAAGTGCGATAGGCTTCGATATTCAGGAAAGTTTAAGAGAAGCTATAAAAAACCCAAAAACAAAGAGCGCTGAGTCTTTAGAAGCAATCTGTGTAGAGGTAATACCCAAATATCATACCACAGATCACATACAAGAAGATAGTGTATCACAACAAAAACCCAAGTATAAACAAGAAATCGCATTTGACCAATTAGAAATTCATACACATAGTGTAAAAACTCCGCTCGGTAAGTACAACAACATTTATGGTAGGGAATATTCTATATGGCGTATTACTTATTCTGACCCAATCGAGCCCCCAAATAAAGACAAAACACATATGACACACAAGTTTAGTACTAAAACAAAAACAAAACATTACCATATTAACCAACATTCTCTCACACAGACACACCGAAAACAACTCACACCACAGAACACAAAACACTACAAAAAACACTTATTCCCGACGAAGCTAAGACCACGGAAATGCCAGAAGAAACAAGAATAGTAGAGACCATCTCTGAAGACGGCAAGCCAAAGAAGAAGAAGATCCGTACTCGTGTCATCAAGAAGGTAAAGGGTGGCAAACAAGAGGTCACGAAGATTGAAACCGTCGAAGAAGATGACAAACAACCCGAAACAACTGTAACAGTCGAAGAAAGTCCTGTCGAGGAGACACTCGAAGAAGTGAAAGAAATGCCCGAAGAAGGGCGTGTGATTGATACCATCTCTGAAGACGGCAAACCAAAGAAGAAGAAGATCCGTACTCGCATCATCAAGAAGGTGAAGGGTGGCAAACAAGAGGTCACGAAGATTGAAACCGTCGAAGAAGATGACAAACAACCCGAAACAACTGTAACAGTCGAAGAAAGTCCTGTCGAGGAGACACTCGAAGAAGTGAAAGAAATGCCCGAAGAAGGGCGTGTGATTGATACCATCTCTGAAGACGGCAAACCAAAGAAGAAGAAGATCCGTACTCGCATCATCAAGAAGGTGAAGGGTGGCAAACAAGAGGTCACGAAGATTGAAACCGTCGAAGAAGATGACAAACAACCCGAAACAACTGTAACAGTCGAAGAAAGTCCTGTCGAGGAGACACTCGAAGAAGTGAAAGAAATGCCCGAAGAAGGGCGTGTGATTGATACCATCTCTGAAGACGGCAAACCAAAGAAGAAGAAGATCCGTACTCGCATCATCAAGAAGGTGAAGGGTGGCAAACAAGAGGTCACGAAGATTGAAACCGTCGAAGAAGATGACAAACAACCCGAAACAACTGTAACAGTCGAAGAAAGTCCTGTCGAGGAGACACTCGAAGAAGTGAAAGAAATGCCCGAAGAAGGGCGTGTGATTGATACCATCTCTGAAGACGGCAAACCAAAGAAGAAGAAGATCCGTACTCGCATCATCAAGAAGGTGAAGGGTGGCAAACAAGAGGTCACGAAGATTGAAACCGTCGAAGAAGATGACAAACAACCCGAAACAACTGTAACAGTCGAAGAAAGTCCTGTCGAGGAGACACTCGAAGAAGTGAAAGAAATGCCCGAAGAAGGGCGTGTGATTGATACCATCTCTGAAGACGGCAAACCAAAGAAGAAGAAGATCCGTACTCGCATCATCAAGAAGGTGAAGGGTGGCAAACAAGAGGTCACGAAGATTGAAACCGTCGAAGAAGATGACAAACAACCCGAAACAACTGTAACAGTCGAAGAAAGTCCTGTCGAGGAGACACTCGAAGAAGTGAAAGAAATGCCCGAAGAAGGGCGTGTGATTGATACCATCTCTGAAGACGGCAAACCAAAGAAGAAGAAGATCCGTACTCGCATCATCAAGAAGGTGAAGGGTGGCAAACAAGAGGTCACGAAGATTGAAACCGTCGAAGAAGATGACAAACAACCCGAAACAACTGTAACAGTCGAAGAAAGTCCTGTCGAGGAGACACTCGAAGAAGTGAAAGAAATGCCCGAAGAAGGGCGTGTGATTGATACCATCTCTGAAGACGGCAAACCAAAGAAGAAGAAGATCCGTACTCGCATCATCAAGAAGGTGAAGGGTGGCAAACAAGAGGTCACGAAGATTGAAACCGTCGAAGAAGATGACAAACAACCCGAAACAACTGTAACAGTCGAAGAAAGTCCTGTCGAGGAGACACTCGAAGAAGTGAAAGAAATGCCCGAAGAAGGGCGTGTGATTGATACCATCTCTGAAGACGGCAAACCAAAGAAGAAGAAGATCCGTACTCGCATCATCAAGAAGGTGAAGGGTGGCAAACAAGAGGTCACGAAGATTGAAACCGTCGAAGAAGATGACAAACAACCCGAAACAACTGTAACAGTCGAAGAAAGTCCTGTCGAGGAGACACTCGAAGAAGTGAAAGAAATGCCCGAAGAAGGGCGTGTGATTGATACCATCTCTGAAGACGGCAAACCAAAGAAGAAGAAGATCCGTACTCGCATCATCAAGAAGGTGAAGGGTGGCAAACAAGAGGTCACGAAGATTGAAACCGTCGAAGAAGATGACAAACAACCCGAAACAACTGTAACAGTCGAAGAAAGTCCTGTCGAGGAGACACTCGAAGAAGTGAAAGAAATGCCCGAAGAAGGGCGTGTGATTGATACCATCTCTGAAGACGGCAAACCAAAGAAGAAGAAGATCCGTACTCGCATCATCAAGAAGGTGAAGGGTGGCAAACAAGAGGTCACGAAGATTGAAACCGTCGAAGAAGATGACAAACAACCCGAAACAACTGTAACAGTCGAAGAAAGTCCTGTCGAGGAGACACTCGAAGAAGTGAAAGAAATGCCCGAAGAAGGGCGTGTGATTGATACCATCTCTGAAGACGGCAAACCAAAGAAGAAGAAGATCCGTACTCGCATCATCAAGAAGGTGAAGGGTGGCAAACAAGAGGTCACGAAGATTGAAACCGTCGAAGAAGATGACAAACAACCCGAAACAACTGTAACAGTCGAAGAAAGTCCTGTCGAGGAGACACTCGAAGAAGTGAAAGAAATGCCCGAAGAAGGGCGTGTGATTGATACCATCTCTGAAGACGGCAAACCAAAGAAGAAGAAGATCCGTACTCGCATCATCAAGAAGGTGAAGGGTGGCAAACAAGAGGTCACGAAGATTGAAACCGTCGAAGAAGATGACAAACAACCCGAAACAACTGTAACAGTCGAAGAAAGTCCTGTCGAGGAGACACTCGAAGAAGTGAAAGAAATGCCCGAAGAAGGGCGTGTGATTGATACCATCTCTGAAGACGGCAAACCAAAGAAGAAGAAGATCCGTACTCGCATCATCAAGAAGGTGAAGGGTGGCAAACAAGAGGTCACGAAGATTGAAACCGTCGAAGAAGATGACAAACAACCCGAAACAACTGTAACAGTCGAAGAAAGTCCTGTCGAGGAGACACTCGAAGAAGTGAAAGAAATGCCCGAAGAAGGGCGTGTGATTGATACCATCTCTGAAGACGGCAAACCAAAGAAGAAGAAGATCCGTACTCGCATCATCAAGAAGGTGAAGGGTGGCAAACAAGAGGTCACGAAGATTGAAACCGTCGAAGAAGATGACAAACAACCCGAAACAACTGTAACAGTCGAAGAAAGTCCTGTCGAGGAGACACTCGAAGAAGTGAAAGAAATGCCCGAAGAAGGGCGTGTGATTGATACCATCTCTGAAGACGGCAAACCAAAGAAGAAGAAGATCCGTACTCGCATCATCAAGAAGGTGAAGGGTGGCAAACAAGAGGTCACGAAGATTGAAACCGTCGAAGAAGATGACAAACAACCCGAAACAACTGTAACAGTCGAAGAAAGTCCTGTCGAGGAGACACTCGAAGAAGTGAAAGAAATGCCCGAAGAAGGGCGTGTGATTGATACCATCTCTGAAGACGGCAAACCAAAGAAGAAGAAGATCCGTACTCGCATCATCAAGAAGGTGAAGGGTGGCAAACAAGAGGTCACGAAGATTGAAACCGTCGAAGAAGATGACAAACAACCCGAAACAACTGTAACAGTCGAAGAAAGTCCTGTCGAGGAGACACTCGAAGAAGTGAAAGAAATGCCCGAAGAAGGGCGTGTGATTGATACCATCTCTGAAGACGGCAAACCAAAGAAGAAGAAGATCCGTACTCGCATCATCAAGAAGGTGAAGGGTGGCAAACAAGAGGTCACGAAGATTGAAACCGTCGAAGAAGATGACAAACAACCCGAAACAACTGTAACAGTCGAAGAAAGTCCTGTCGAGGAGACACTCGAAGAAGTGAAAGAAATGCCCGAAGAAGGGCGTGTGATTGATACCATCTCTGAAGACGGCAAACCAAAGAAGAAGAAGATCCGTACTCGCATCATCAAGAAGGTGAAGGGTGGCAAACAAGAGGTCACGAAGATTGAAACCGTCGAAGAAGATGACAAACAACCCGAAACAACTGTAACAGTCGAAGAAAGTCCTGTCGAGGAGACACTCGAAGAAGTGAAAGAAATGCCGGAAGAGGTTCGTATTGTTGAAACCATCTCTGAAGACGGCAAACCAAAGAAGAAAAAGATCCGTACTCGTGTCATAAAGAAGGTAAAGGGTGGCAAACAAGAGGTCACGAAGATCGAAACCGTCGAAGAAGACGATAAACAGCCCGAAACAACAGTCACAATTGAAGAAACTCCTGTCGAGGAGACACACGAAGAAGTGAAAGAAATGCCCGAAGAGGTGCGTGTGATTGAAACCATCTCTGAAGACGGAAAACCAAAGAAGAAGAAGATCCGTACTCGTGTCATCAAGAAGGTAAAGGGTGACAGACAAGAGGTCACGAAGATCGAAACCGTCGAAGAAGATGATAAACAGCCCGAAACAACTGTCACAGTTGAAGAAACTCCTGTCGAGGAGACACCCGAAGAAGTGAAAGAAATGCCCGAAGAGGTGCGTGTGATTGAAACCATCTCTGAAGACGGCAAACCAAAGAAGAAGAAGATCCGTACTCGTGTCATCAAGAAGGTAAAGGGTGGCAAACAAGAGGTCACGAAGATCGAAACCGTCGAAGAAGATGACAAACAGCCCGAAACAACTGTCACAGTTGAAGAAACTCCTGCTGACGTAGCACCCGAAGAAGTGAAAGAAATGCCAGAAGAAGTACGTGTGGTAGAAACTATTTCTGAAGACGGCAAACCAAAGAAGAAGAAGATCCGTACTCGCGTCATCAAGAAGGTGAAGGGTGACAAACAAGAGGTCACGAAAATAGAAACCGTGGAAGAAGATGACAAACAGCCCGAAACAACTGTCACAGTTGAAGAAACTAATGTCGAGGAGACACCCGAAGAAGTAAAAGAAATGCCCGAAGAGGTTCGTGTCATTGAAACCATTTCTGAAGACGGCAAACCAAAGAAGAAGAAGATCCGTACTCGTGTCATCAAGAAGGTAAAGGGTGACAAACAAGAGGTCACGAAGATCGAAACCGTCGAAGAAGATGATAAACAGCTCGAAACAACTGTCACAGTTGAAGAAACTCCTGTCGAGGAGACACCCGAAGAAGTGAAAGAAATGCCCGAAGAGGTGCGCGTGATTGAAACCATCTCTGAAGACGGCAAACCGAAGAAGAAGAAGATCCGTACTCGTATCATCAAGAAGGTGAAGGGTGGCAAACAAGAGGTCACGAAGATCGAAACCGTCGAAGAAGATGATAAACAGCCCGAAACAACTGTCACAGTTGAAGAAACTCCTGCTGACGAAGCACCCGAAGAAGTGAAAGAAATGCCAGAAGAAGTACGTGTGGTAGAAACTATTTCTGAAGACGGCAAACCAAAGAAAAAGAAGATCCGTACTCGCGTCATCAAGAAAGTGAAGGGTGACAAACAAGAGGTCACGAAAATAGAAACCGTGGAAGAAGATGACAAACAGCCCGAGACAACTGTCACAGTTGAGGAAATTCCTATGGAAGAATCACCCGAAGAAGTGAAAGAAATGCCAGAAGAGGTTCGTGTTGTTGAAACCATCTCTGAAGACGGAAAACCAAAGAAGAAGAAGATTCGTACTCGTGTCATCAAGAAGGTAAAGGGTGGCAAACAAGAGGTCACGAAAATCGAAACCGTCGAAGAAGATGATAAACAGCCCGAAACAACTGTCACAGTTGAAGAAACTCCTGTCGAGGAGACACCCGAAGAAGTGAAAGAAATGCCCGAAGAGGTGCGTGTGATTGAAACCATCTCTGAAGACGGCAAACCAAAGAAGAAGAAGATCCGTACTCGTGTCATCAAGAAGGTAAAGGGTGGCAAACAAGAGGTCACGAAGATCGAAACCGTGGAAGAAGATGACAAGCAGCCCGAAACAACTGTCACAATTGAAGAAACTCCTTTCGAGGAAACACCCGAAGAAGTGAAAGAAATGCCCGAAGAGGTGCGTGAGATTGAAACCATTTCTGAAGACGGCAAACTAAAGAACAAAAAGATCCGCACTCGTATCATCAAGAAGGTGAAGGGTGGCAAACAAGAGGTCACGAAGAT